TCCTTTCCTTTTGAAGGTAAGACGTTAGATGTTTTGCAAGTATCTCGTGTAGGCGATGTCCTCCAGCTCGGGTCCGGTCCCGGAGCCGTGGCTGGCTTCATGGTCTTAATGGCGTCGCGTACTTCAGCAGGTAGAATCCTTGGTGGTATTTCTCCAGTGGGAATAACGGGGTTTAACACGGGTGTTGATGAGCGGAAGGATTGGCGTAGAATCTCATCGTGATCGATTCCATCTCTTGTCGGGAAGATGTGCGAGTCCCATCTTCGTTTAGTAGTGTTGTCAGCGGAACACGACAGTCGAGAAGGTCGCTGCGGTACTTCTTTAGACTTCTTCTTCCTTGTGCTGCTTCCAAGAGTTTTGATTGCCTGCACTTTCGAAGGTCTTCTTGCAAAGCTGATCTGCAACTGGTATTGGCTACCAGTCGCTCGAGATGTGTTGTAGTCAGATCCAGCCTCAGTGCTTTTCTTCTCTCTAGCAGATCCTTGGTGGCTTTCGAAATTCGTTCCAAGCTTGTTGTGCGAGGCATTGAGGCGCTTTCACCACAGGCTCTTAGTCCTCTAAGAAGCAGATCGTAGTCTCTCGTCGGGTCCTCTCGATGGGTCAGTCATAAGTGGTTAGGAGCTCCTCCAGTCTGACGCCGCCATATACGGCTTCTCTCCTTCCTCCAATACGGTGACAAATCTTCTTTTCCAGCTTTCGGCTGAATCGCACTTTTGCTCGAAGGAGGCGGTGATCTGAACCACTGCTAAAGGGTGGTACCACTGAGACGTCGAGTAAGCACCAACTTTGCTTGGTGACAATGGTCGATCTCCGCTTGAGTCGTACCGTTGGGTGACTCCCACGTCCACCGTTGGCGTTCTTTCTTCATAAAGATGGGGTTGCCATGAAAAAGTCGTACGGCGGATAAGCCAACAAGACGGTTGCCGTTCTCATTCCGGAGCCCTGCTCCAAATCTCCCAATCCTATGCTCCCCTTCTTCTGACATCCAAATTCGCGTTGAAGTCAGTTACGACAAATTTGTAGAAGACTTTTCTTTGCGGATGACTTCCTCCAAATTCTCATAAAAAGCATCAAGTTCCGAGTCATTAGCTGCTGATGTTGGAGAGTAGCAGTTGATGATAGTAATGGCTTTCTGATGCAGAGGACGGCGTCGAAGGATAGCCAGGCGAGGTGATAGGATCTCAGAATCGACAAGATGGACAACAGATGAGTGTACGATAAAACCAACGCCTCCAACGTTCCGTGCTGGAACTTTCTCACCACGAATGATGAGTGTGCCATCACTCAGCTGCCTCACGTCCATCTTCCTGGACTTGTTTCCTGCAAGGCAATTACGTGGTAGTTGATGCGCCCTGCAGCTTCGAGAAGCGCGTGAAGATTGGGGTTGGTGGAGACTGTCCTGGCGTTGTAGGTGCAAAGCATGAGGCAATCTCCAGGCGAGTCGTTGACGTGTCCTTTTGGTCCAAAATCCATGGCGTCCTGTGCAACCTGACACTGGTCTTGAT